GGCAGGCCAGGGGGAAAAAAAAGTTTGAAGAACATTTGGCTGGAGCAATCAAACATAGTACTAAATTCCTCTTCCACAGGAATCATCAACATCAGAGCAAAAAGCCTGCCAGGCAGTCTGTGGAGCCCGCTGACAGGCTGAATACTCAGGGAATAATGCTGCTGCAGAAAAGCAGAGTGAATACCTGCATCACTGCGGCCTTCCAGTACCTGAAGGGAGCCTACAAGAAAGATGGCGAGAGACTTTGCAAGAGGGTGTGATGACAGGGTAGGGGGGAATGGCTTCACACTAAAAGATGTCAGGTTAAGATTGGATACTAAAAAAATATTCTTTGCTGAGAGGGTGGTGAGGCACCGCAGCAGGTTCCCCAGAGAAGCTGTGGATGCCCCATTCCTGGAAGTGTTCAGGGTCAGGTTGGATAGGGCTCTGGACATTCTGCTCTAGTGATACGTGTTCCTGCCCATGGCATGTGGGGCTGGAACTAGGTGATCTCTAACATCTAAATCCAAATCATTCTATGATTCTATGTTTCTAGGATCACTGTAGAAGAAACAGCTGATACTTCCTCACTAGAAGTCTTTTATGCAGGCAACACTGCAGAGGATCCATCTGAAACATAACTGGCTGTGGAGAGGCTGTTGCAATGTTAACACAAGAGTTAATGAGTTGTCTGGACTGGATGGTATTTATCAAGAGTTCTGAGAAAACTCAAGGAAGTAAGAGCTGAATCACTGATAGGGGTAACTAACCTCCCATGTTGATTTTTAGGCACTGAACACTGAGGGTTAGCAAATGTGACACCAGTGAGGATCTGGAGAGCTACAGGCCTGCAAGCTTGTAACTCTAGTGCACAAATTTGTAAAGCTTATAAAAAAGGACAAATATATGTCTGAATGCAACTTACACAGAAAAGCCAACGTCAGTTCTGTAGTGGAACATTATGCCTTTGAAATCCATTTGAGTTTTTTGAAGTTAATTAATACATGGATCAGATGAGACAGTCAAATAAAATACAACTGGATGTTCCATCTTTTTGGGTAAAGTCTCCCATCAATGGTTTTTAAAGAAACTGAGCAGCCATAGCATAAGTGGAAAGGACCTGCAAATAAAGGGCCAAAAAATGTGAAACAGAAGGTCTGCACTTAGAATAGAACAAATACCCTTCAGAGTGAAATAAAATTATGGACTCTGAGGTGATGATTACCCTTCAGCAGTGGATGCTCAAGGTTACATTAGACAGCTTCACAGAAGCATCAGCTCTGCTCAGCAGCAGTTAAAGACACAACTCAAATGCCAGTAACAAAAAACAAGACAAAAACATAATTATGACTCTGTTCATCTATATCTTGAATATTTTTCCAGTTAGGGTCATCTCATCTCAACGAAAGGACACAAAGGATTATCTGAGGTGCCTAAAGCTCAAAGACCAACTATGTTAAACTATGATGTGGCTTATACAGTTCTGAAAACTCGTGATGGTGTGGAGTTAGTGGATAGGAAATGACTGTTCACTGTCCATCCACTGCAAGGAGCAGAAATTGTCCAATAAAGCTTATAAGAGCTAAACTTAAATAAAAAGGGATGACCTCGTACCACCTAACATATATTGTTTGATATCTAAAGAGTTTGCTTTGTAGAACAAGGACTTCATGTTGTTCCCTATCTATGTCTTCAGGTCCACAGTCCTTGAACTGGACTTCCTGGGTATACTGGTACAAATAATTAATTGTACACATTCAGCATTAATGGGTTGATTACACTCTTAGGAGTCAGTTTGTAATTGAGAAATTCACTTGAGCAATGCACGAGACCAGTCATAGCTTCCTGTTCCCTCTTTGCACAAATTCAAAGTCATCATAACGTATTGACCTCATTTTAGAACAGGAATAGCAAAGCTAGAAAGAAATAATAAAAAGATGAGCCATAAATCATTGTAAATTCTTATATCACAAGCAATGCATGCACATCAATGATGGACTGCAAACATGAAGAAAAGGCACGTGAAGTAAGAGTATTTGAACTTTGCTGAAGGTAGCTATTTCCAGGGTGCCTGCTTGGAGAGAGGCAACTTTCATCCTGGACAAAGACTACTTTCATTATATCTTGTTTTTGCATTATCCTCTGCACTCCAGTTTCTTGCATCATCTTTCTATTATGGAAGATGTCATGGGAAGTCTCTTCCTCTACTGGTTATGATACAAAAAAACTGGAAGAGGGAATCCACTCCAGATAAAATCCCTGTCTAAAGGGAATAATTTTCCCCACTCAAAGCTTGCAAAAGAAGTTAAAGTGCCGCATGGGACTGCACTCCTGTTGAAGACTGGAACAACTCTCCAAAGAAGGAAATGCCCTCTAACATCCACTGATGAAGATCCAGAGTCGTGCCACTGATGTCATGCCAAGATTTACACTGATGCAGTATTCCATCTTGGGAGCCAGTTCTGACTGATGAATCCTCACTGTAAACTGAGTGACGCCTGGGAATGTCAGGCGCTTTTCACTACATTTAAACAGGAGCAAATGAGACCAAGATGGTGACAATTTCATGCAGAAACGTGGTATGGTACATAAGCTGGGGTTGGTTGGTTTTATCTGCAACTCAAAAAATGCCAGGTCTATTGAAGAAAACTTAATTTTTGTTCTGGTGTGATGGTGAGAACTAGCACAGCTAGGCCTCACATATCTGAAACAGCATAAGAAGAAGATTTCCCAGCAAAAGTGCTTTCCTAGTTAGTGGGGAACAAGTCACTGTCCACTGGGTCATGTAGTTGTATTATTTACCACAGTAAAAAAAAAAAAAGTTACATTAAAAATTCTATATAATGGATTCTTCCTTTTCTTCCTTATTAATTCAGATATACAAGCAAGGTCAAAAGCTCTAGTCTGACCAGAATGACCATTTTTTACTGTTAAATTTCCTGTACAATATTACTGAAGATGAATGATTTTTCATTGTTTTAATAGAAAAGTGTTTCACACATCTTTCAAATTTCCTCAGTATCTGAGCTCTGTATGAGCACAGGATTTTAGTAGGTTATGTCAGTTCACCACAACCACTTTACTAAAGAGACTTGCCATAAGAGTTTCCAGTTTACAAAGAGGAATAAAATAGCAGGTGTTAACACTGGAAAAGAAAATTGTGACAGAAAATTAAGGTTATTAGGGAAGCTGAGAATTATAAAAGGCCCAACAGGGAGTGATTTCAGAAATCACAGTTTAGCAGCAGAGAAAATAAACAAGGCAGCCTGTGACTGAAGTCATCAAACTAGAGGATATTTTAGCAAAATAATAAAATGAGAATCTTCAAATGGAGCCTGGTTACTTAATCACTGTATTCTTTCACTTTTGGCTCATGAAATACAGCCAGCCTGGCCACCTTGCAGGGTTGAGCCCTTGCCAGGAAATCATCCAGATGTTTTCAGTTTTTGGGACTGGATTGAGGTTTTGACACAAAACCTGTCTGCCTGGCAGCACCTCACTGTGTGGACTGTGAAGTGTTACTGGGACACTATTCATGAGTTTTTCTCCTACCTGAGGATGCAGTGGCTGACACGGAATTGTGAGCCAGACTTTGCCCTGTGCAACTCCAAGGCAGCCATGCCTGTCTGCAGAGCTGGGAAAGCAGACACCCCTGCCTTCTCCTTCCTCTGACTGCTGGCTGACACGTTTGCAGGCAGCAAACATGAAGATCTCAGAAAGATTGCTCTTCCCACTGCCCTGCTATTGGCTGCAGGAGTGAGCAGTGTAGGGACACCGGGACAGGACAGGGACACTCTTAGGACAGACTGCTCTCAAGAGCTGTACAGGGCAAAGGGTGTACTGAGAGGATGAGGGACACGTCCCACAGACATGAAGTGCAAAGACCCATGTCACAGATATTCTGTGTCCACAAAAGTATTGTCATCACAAATATTTTAAAAAAATATTTAAATAAAGCTGTTCATATGAACCCAGTGCATAAGACAGACTCTTCTGAACAGCATAAATTAGTCACAGGCAGCAGGATGACCAAAACGTCAGCATTTCACAAAAAAACCACTGTGTTACAGGCCCTAGGCTGTAAGCCAGCCCTGCTGAAGCAGACAATGACGTGGATTTTAAGGGCAGCAAGAACTGCTACAACAATCATGTAGCCTGACCCCCTGTGAAACGCAAGCCACAGAATTTTACCCAGCAGCTCCTGCAGCAGCAACACCTACTCTTCCCTGCTGCAATGAGGCTCCGTACAGCCCACTTTCAAATGAACTCTCGGCAGGACTCCAGAGGAAACGGACAGACATTAGACAAAAACTTGTTTGTTTGCTTTCCCACAAGGAGCAGCCAGGAAAGCAGCCGCTGGTCTCTGATGTAGGACCACATCCCTGGTACCCAGTGGGCATGAGGCAGGCGGGCTCCAGCTGAGCGCGGAAACCAGGGTGGTAGTCACACCACGCTGCAGCAGGACAAGAGCTCTTTCCTACTTCACTGACATTCACGTTGCCTTCCTCTCACCCACTGAGTATTATCATCACAGAGGCTGGAGTCTGAATGTGTTTAATGCTTTCTTAGCTACAGATCATTAGTAACCAATTCCACTTTCCACTGTCTCAATTGTTTTTATACAATACAAGACTCCTTTTTTCCTTTCCCCTCCCTCTTCTTTCTTCCTCCTTTTTCCAATTTTCTTGTGGTAAAACAGTCCTGCCTGAAAGCAATAAGCTCCTTTCAGAACTTAAAACCCTAATGGCAGGCATTTGGAAAAGAAGCTCTAAAGGCACCATTATTCCTCACTTTGGCTTCACTGCTGACTCGCTGTCTACATGCATAATGCCGAGCTTTTTCCCACAAAAATAGCAGTCCTCAGCCACAAATCCATGTTAGCTGCTTGAGTTATTTATTCCTAGAGGAAGCTAGCAAAGTGACAACTTTTAGGACATTTGGGAGGCCACCATGAAGTGGTGAGCACTCAGTTAGGTATGGGAGGAATATAAATGAAGCAATGACTTAGGTAATTGTACAACAGCTATTCATGCTTTTGGGATATTCCCACTCTGCTCATGATGTTCTCTCCTCTTTCTCTACCAAAGCTTTTCTGGTTCACAAACTCTCTTTCCACATCTCAGTTCTTCATCTCAGCGTTCACACAAGGCCTGAAACGAGATTACAACTTGCCATTGCTCACCCTGTTTCTGTGGGGCAGCAGTGCCCAGAGCAGGAAAAGTCAGGGGCCCACTCCCAGTGCTGTTACTTGCTCTCTGTGCAAATTCCAGCCATTCATTAGCTGCTGACTGGCAGCAGTGAGGAGTGCTCTGCAGCCCGGGCTGCTGGCTGGATAGGCAGCATCTCTCAATAAAATGCTGGAGAACAGTAGGACATTAACACCATGGGAGAGCCTGATACTTTCCAGGGTGTGCCAAGACAACAGGGGCCATTAAGTTTTGCTAGTAGGACACACATTTGAAAGTCTCCATACAGAAATGTGGATTGGTCTTGGGACTTGTGGCTGCAAGGGATAGCAGAGACTAAGAAACCTGGGGGATTAGTCATATGGTGAATCCCTCTTCCACTGCTGTCCTAGGGAGAATAAAGAGCAAACGACAGGACTCACCCATGTGTGGAGGAACAGTGCCAAGTACTTCACCAGAGGTAAAGCACTCAGGTTGTTAGTCCCAGGCAAAGACAGGACTCCACCATGCCTCATCACTGTCAGTCCAACAGGCATTTTTAGGATATATGAAGCACCTGTAGTTCACAGCAACACTCTTCCACTGGGATTGGGTGTGATGGGTAAGGGCATGTTGCCTCTCTTGAAGCCATTGTGCCAGCCAGGGCTAGCATAGACTCCTGTGGCTGGTCCATTCTCTGTCACTAGGGTGGAACCACCACATATTTGCTGCTATTATCTCTGAGCAGGGGCAACCCTTCTAAGAGAAGAGAGGTAGAAAACCTGAGGACACTAAACCTCCATGCCCATCCTCACATTTTGTGAAGGAAAAGCCTCCTGCGAAGCTGTGCGTCCTACAGCAGTGTCCTCAAGCCTATAGGTCAGAGCTGCTCTTCCCTTAAACCCAGCATAATCCACCAGAAAACAAGTGGTGGACCACTGCAGTAGGGTATTTCTATCTGTTTGACTTGCAATCCATCCCTGAATGAAAGAAACTATGCACAAAACCACCCTGGCACTCAGCAAGGCAGTACCTGGGGAAGGCTCTGTACGCTGTTTGGCTGGACAGTCAGGGGCATTCCCAAGGTCCAGCCCAGAGCATGTGGCACACGGATACTGTCCATGCCCAAGCAGCCAGGCTTGCCTTTGCCATACAGAGCAATCCTTGCGTGCAGAGGGAGCGGGGCTCCTTGCAGTCCTTGCACAGCTGCTGGGTGCCAGGGGGAGAAGCAGGACAGCCCCCTCCAGCTGCCAGAAGGATGGGGCAAGAGGCAGGCAGGAGCACAGGGATCTGACAGAGGCACCTGGCCCAAATCCTCCACACCTGCTGGGGTGCAATGCCAGCTGCAGCCCAACAAGGGGCCCCATTGATCCTGCCCGTGTGGTGGGTTTCTCTGCCTCTGCACAGGCAGCTGAAGAGATGGAGGAATTTTCATCTGTGGTTTGCTAAGGGTTTCTCCCCAAAGGATCATGATTTAATTGCTGTTATTATCTTCATAAAGCTGTCCAGAGTGTTTTTCCAGTGGTTATTTAAAGCTTATCTAAAAGATATTGATAGCAGTGGAATGTTAAAACTGCATTCCTGGTATGCCAGTAGCAGAGTGTGATAAAAATAGTAGGTCTCTTAAATCAATCATCATCTTTCTCTAATTTATTGTATTGTTGTATTTTTGGATCCATGCATAGCGCATACAGCATATCATTATGAAAGTAATGCAGTTAGAAACTACATAAACAGATATCTGGAGACTGAGTTACTGTCAGTCTTCTATGAAAAAAGAAAAGACACTTTGTCAAAGAATAAAAATCACACATTATAATTTTTAAAATGATCCGCTGATGAGGAACCTTGCCATAGGAAGAAAACTCTCCAAAACATGTCCCTAAAACTGCACTTGTTGAGAATGAAAAAAATTATTTTAAAATCTCTTGATCAGTAACAGCTTCACAAATAACAATATGAATAATATGGATGTCTGGTGGGAACAAACAACTGCACAGGATGTCATTAGGTATATAGACTATACATTTTTTTTTCTATTCTGATTTGCTGTAGAGAGAAAAGATAGAAGCACAGAAGCGATGAAACGTGTCTTAAAAAATGGAGGAAATTTTTATTTAATGCAAATCCCTTGTTTCATCATATTGCTAGTGACTCATGCATAAAGGCTTAGAAATCTATGGAAGGAGATGAGAAACCTCAGAAGCAGATATGAGCAAATAATTCACTACAGGATAGTTGTTTTCTCTTCAAATGTACTCCATTTTTTAATTTAAAGAAATTATTTGCAAATAGGTCATTCTAACTGTGAATTTATTCCCGTGTTTCTAATTGCCTCAGGGATTGTTTCTGAAAACAAATTTAGACAATTAATTTACAGACCAACTATTCAAAAAGCGACTGTGCGTTGCAAATCAATTGGCATTAAAAATCGTATGTATTATTATCTCTACTTTGTAATTCACTCTCTGAATTGCAAAGTCAAAAAAGTATCCACCAGAGTTTTGAATCTCTCAGGTTCACTTTGGATAATGAAAAGAGCTGTGAAAAGTTAAGGAATTGAATGTCACTTCATGTCTTTTTACATCCTTTCATAAAAAGCCCCTTGTCACCCAGCCTGTTACCTGCAGTCCAATCCCTAAGTAGTGCATCCCTTTGTAACTCATCATGGGACAAAAGGCACGTCACATTTATGGACTTGTGGCTTTCACCTGTCTTTTCCCCTCACATTCTTCTCAAGTAATTTGTGTTGGTGAGCACCTGTCTGCCAATGATGCAACCTAACTCTACTCTGGTATGTTTAATTACCCAAGTTCCTGTGCCAGAGCTTTGGAAGAACATTGGGAGACCTCCCTCTGCCTGTCCTACACCATGCAGCACCACAGACCATATACCCATCGATGAATGGCATAAACTATCCTGGATGGTCTTCCTCCTCCACCATCTACCATCTCCAGAAATCCTCTTTAGTGAATGGTTTGAGTTAATTTGCTTGAGTTCCCTTAATCTCTTAAATAAACTTGGAAAAGGAGCTGTTGAATCTGAGACAATGCTACACAGACCTCCTCCAAAGATGGGCAACTCTCAAAGATGGGCTGCAAGACTGTCAGGAGTAGGCTGATTCCCCTTTCCCTTATTTTTCTGTGGATAAGCCAAGGAAAATCAGACTTTCTGATATGGCTATTACCAAGAATGAGGCAGCAGTGTAGGAAGTAGCAGCCACAATTGGTGATTATTTTTAAGATTCATTGCACCATATTTAGGGTTCACCATTGCACTTCCTAAATGGCTTCCACAGTCCAGGCTTTTTAAGGCTTTTCCTCTGGTTTCCTGATCCAGCTGTACCGAGCTTATCTTGGGATTATTTCTTGACTTTTGCTGACTTTACAGTGACTTTTGTCCATGCCTTCCTCTCTAGCAATGCAATGTTGCCTGTAGTTCTGTGCACCCCGCAAAAGAACTGGTGAAGGGTAACAAATGCCTACAATTAAATATTTGAATAGAGCTACTCTAGTGAGAGATGCTGTAATATCTGGTATACAGAAGCAAGTATCATGAAAACATTTTTCCCCATGGAGCAGTTTCATCAGCCTGCCAAATCCTTTGTAGCCAGAAAAATGCCTATGCTGCAAAACTGAGACTGATATTATGAGAGCATCAAATCTGGGCTCATTACAATCTACACCTTACCCCAAAATCATTATTCACACAGGGTTCCAATGCTTGGTCCTTGCAATGGAGTATGCTAAGGAGGTGAAACTGGGAAGCAAGATAGGACACAAGATTAATGCTAGAAGAACCCACACATCACCATCCTTCTTGAAAGATGGCATATGTACCCCACAATAATATTGGAAAGTGAGCAGAAAGTTCACTGATCCCAGACAGAACCATGGCATCCCTCCTTGAAGAGAGATTTGGGGCTTAACAACACAGTTACAAGAAGAAAAGAGTTCTCTCTACCAAGAAATAGATTCCTCTTCTAGTACATTGAAACAATTAGGTAATTTCCATCTCCTTCCTTGCAAATTGAATCTCTCAATAGCTCAATTTCTTCAAGTGACATTGTTTTCTCAGGCACAACAAAAGTAATTGTGCTGAGCTTCCATACTCTCCGAGTACCCAAGCATCTCTAGCACCTGAATGTTCAGTGCTGCAGCTATTTCTTGAGTACTGCTTGGACATGTTTCAAGTTGACATTTTAGATTGCATAACTCCTGGCGCAGCTCTGCAAAGATGTCTCCTCCCATTGCATCAGAGAGTGACCTGCTGTGGCAAAGGCTATTACTTCTTTTGAGATTATCGAGTCTGTGGTGCCTCATCGAATTATACAGATTCCAAGGGGAGGAAAAGTAACTGCTGCGTGCTCCAGGCCCTGAACTTTTCAGTGCAACACATCTGGAGAGCCTTCATCTGCATATGCATCTCTAATGCCACATCTCCTTGGTGAACACTGCGTGCATTGAATTCTGCTAACATGGGGTGACAGACAAGTAACAATAGGAGAGACGTTGACTCGGTGCTTGTCTCCTCCTAAAATAAAATACTGTGTGACGGACTAGCCACAGCTGCACACTTACAAAGAGCAGTCTGTGGCTTCTAAGCAAAGCAGCTGAGAAGTTAAAAAAAAAATCTATCTCAGCTTTCCCCTCCTCACTCATCTCCACACACATGTTAGATTCGAGGCCAAAATCCGATGACTAAACTAGGCATACAACCAAGAGTGACCTGATTTTGGGGAGTTACAGAGCACTGGTGTTGCCCAGGGACTTCACTGCTTCAAAACTGTGTTTCTTGGGGAACACAGAAGCTCAGTTCCTCTGAAAATTGGATGCATTCAAGCAGGTGCCTTAACATTAGTGTTTTTTATGGCTCAGTTTAATTTGTTCTCCTGGAAACTATTTCATTTGAGAGTAAGGGCAAATGAATACTGAATAAAAATCATTAAAAAAAAATCAAACACTGAAAGTCTAGTTTCTGTAGCATTAAGCACAATGAGTACCACTGAGGGGGTGGGAGCAGTACGCTGTGCAATGGCAGGACCACTTTCCCATCAGTGTGGCACAGACCAAGTGCTACAACAGATAGTACCAGTAGGGAGGGCAAATCTCAGAAACCCCCTGTGAGCAGTACCCCCACTTCTCCAGGCAGCTCACTGACATTAAAGACGGCAGTTTTTCTAGTCAGGTTTGGTCATCCAGGAGCCCAGGGATGCAAATGAGTAAACCTGGATCCATCTGAGGCAGAGACGGTGATGCTGAGCCCAAAGGGTGAATTTTCCATCTTTTCCCCCACCTCACTCTGCATAGTGCTTGCAGCAAAGGTGGCAGGAAAAGACTAATCCTTGCCTTCAAGGGATTTGAAGAGAGTTCTTAACTGTTTGAGGAAAGCTTAAAAAATTGTAATTTGTAAGCAACTTTCCAAGGCTGGTTGCTGAAGGTTACACAGGGCTAGGTGTGAAGATGTGTAATCCTGTTTTTCAAATGTCAGCAGGAAAAAAGTCAAATTTTCCTTCTGGCTTTCTCCAACCCCAGAGTAATCTGATGCAATATAAATCAATATGTTCTTGAGACAGCATTCCATGGAAAATGTAAATTGTAATGTTATCTGATATTTGGGTTGTACAAACTCAAGCAAATTGCAGAAACTATAATCCTGGGCTGTGAATCACTGCTGCAGATCTAATCGCTACCAGTCTTTTCTGTCCATCAGCTCTGCTGTCTGCAAAGCGGTGGAAGTATGGATTACACAACTTGTACTTTTCATCACTAACATGCCCTGGTGGTAAGAAATTGTAGTGTGACCAAACAGTTAATTAGAAGCAAAGCCTTGTAGCTGGTTTCAATCTCCTGTGTGCAGATACACTCACCTCTCCAACCAGAGCAGGTTCCGGTGTTTATAGCCAACACACATCTACTTTAACTTTTTAGAGCAGAAACCATTCAGGGGAACAGACTGTTTAGGAGCTGTGATTAGAAGGAAGCTCGCTAGTGCAACAAATGGTCAAGCAGACAACACAAACCAACAGATGCCAAACTATTTGAAGTCTGATACAGAAAAAACATTTGAGGAGGGCCTTTCCTCCTCAAATGAGGGCCAGGGCTGTCAGACCCCAGACAGAAACACATACCAGCTGGTCAGCCATGCAGAATGAAATCTCCCAAAGACCGGTTTCATCATAAGCAGCAGCTGACCGATCACAATTGACAGGACGGCTGACAGGAGGGCTCATTCCTCCCTCCCTCGCTCTCAGTCAACATGAGCCACTGCTTTTGTCATGAGAGCCTGTGGTATGTGTTTGCCTGGAACAAACTCATGTTCACGGGGAATCAGACTTATTGTTTGCTACAGTCTGCCACAGGGTAAGTAAAAACTCCTGTCTCAAGCTGGCAGAAACCAAGTGAAGTCAAGATCTCCTCATAACAAAGTGCACACTGAGCAATTCTTAGGCTGCTTAGGAAATGCAGGTAGGTCTGCCCTGCTTCTGCTGGGATTGAATAGTGCTTTGACACACAGCCCTTACCCCACAGTGATAAACACATCTGACATCACACCTTGGATTCACTGCTCACATCTCCATCATTGCTGCCACAATTTTAGGCTGTACATTCACCAGCAGAGGCTAAGGCTGAATAGTTACACCTGCAATTTATTAAAGCCTTTCTAAGACCACTATAGACATTTTGGTGGTTTAAAGAAGGAAGTCTCACAGTCTGTGTGAAATATGAAACAGGGAAGCAGAAAGTCCTGGAAAGAAAGGAAAAGCACAGAGTCAGAGAGAACTTTCTTGTAAGGTGGGGACTTTGAAGAGAGAAATGCAATGAAAGCGTCTGATGTGAGCTCTCCTACAGAAGGCTGGCAGACTTCTCCAAACCCACCCAAGCTGCTGATCTAAACAGAGCACCCTGAAAATTCCTTGTGAAGCAAATGACAGGATGAAGAAGGAGACAAGAGGAGGATGTCTGAAAGAAACACACAAGCAAGGGAGGGACTGTCAGCAGGAAAGTCCTATTCTATATATCAGGTTTAACAAAATTAGCAGAGTCGCCCTAAAGCATCTCAGCAAACAGAAATTTCAGCATCCACATGCTTTTTGGGTTTGCCTAAATGCTGTTTATACCTCCATGTTTACATACAACCCATCCACTTTCCTCTTCAGAAGACCCACGCTTTTAAATGATTCTGTAATTATATTTCTTCATAGTAGCAGAGAGTTTTAAAAAGAATACCAGACAAGCCAAGGGAACAAACTCTTCTTGGACAGTTTCCCATCCCTGTTATTTTCATTAAAAAACTGGGTGCACTGAGACTAAGGTTGTTTGCACTATGTGCCTGACTCAGGAAACAAGCAGTTTGTTATTATGGTTATTTCTGGCAATTTAGGCCATTTCTTCTCTGAAACATAAAGAATTCCTATTTCAGCTTAACTACTAGTCTACAGATTCAAAATGCATGTGCTAAGTCTTAATCTACAGGGTGTCCCACCTGACTGACTAGGAAATAAATCCAAACAGAGCACAGCAAAAAATTACAATAAGTTGCCTGCATCACTTCAGGCCATATTCATCAAGTGATGGTTTATGAGTGCTGCATACTGAAAACACCCAGGAGCTGGGTATTATGAATTCTAAGCCACTGACCATCATTTCCCTTTACTCCACAAGTTCTATTAAAAAAAAAAAAAAAATCAAGCAGCTGTCAATTAGCAGTGTCTCATTCAAGCTGCTGCTGAATTAAACAGGCTGAAGATGTGTGCCCTGACTCAAGCAGAACAATCTTTCCCCCACAATTACAGCAGAGAAGCTCTTCTTTGTTTAAATATTCAGTTCAACAAAGGACTTAAAATCTTCATGCTCACAAAGGTTAGGAACTTTGTGGGCAGCAGTGTAGGCTGTGTGCACCAGATTTAGGAACATTTATGTAAGCGCCTCCTAAGACTGTACAACAAATTGGGGAGAGCGGGGGGCCAGTTTCAGTGGCTACATCTTGTAGCTATAGCTTTTGTCTCTCCCTCCACATTTGGGTCTTAATCACTCTAGACATCCACAAGATGCTCTGTTGCATCCAATAATTTTTGAGAAATAAAATAGGAATCAGTACTCTTAAAATCGGCACTTTAAAAATATGGGATGTTCCCACCGCACTGCCACAGCACTTCTCTGTGCTGTTCTCCAATTATCTTTCATGTACACACACTCCCCTCTTGCCACCTTATAACCACTTGTACTTGCAGGGCAAGGTAGCAGCTTTCAGACAACCAAGGAAACTGTGAGAAAAAGGGTAAGGTGGGATTATTTTCCATATTTCAGGCTAAAAATCAACATGATTTATATTAAAAAAAAAAAAAATAAGGACCAGGGAAGTTATTGTGCCTGTCCTTTACCATAGGATGCAGGATTTCAAGCTAAAATATGGGAAACCCCATATTAAATGAGAAGTCTGCCAACCCTAGGAGCTCAATCATAAAGTGGATTATTCTGTGGAGTCACAGAGGTTTCCTAGACTACTCATTTTCACATGAGCTGATAGCTCGAGGGGATGTTCAGACAGTGCTTGATGCTTTTGAACCTGACCTACAACCAGCCAATGTCAGTTCAAACCTGACCGCCGGCAGAAAGCATGGAAAAAACGGGAAGAGGAGCGAAGCATGTTGTCATGGTCTGCCTCTGTCAAAGGAGCTTGCAGTTTGATAGACATCAAACCAACAGCACAGAAAGCTCAGATTGCACTGAAGCTAAATAAATATCACATATAGCAGGGATGGAGGAGAAGTGTAGGAAGACAGAGGAAGTCTGGGAAAGGGGTAATAGGGTGGTAGAGGCGGAGAAAAGGGACAAGACTAGGAGTAACACAGACATGCTCCCAAGGTCCGAGGCAAGTAAACAAACTCATCCTTGTCCTCCCTGCCTCCTCTTTGTCCTCAGTGAGACCTGGGCAACCCTTGCCCTGAGACCCGTCTTCAAAGGATGGTGACTGCCATTCCTTATGGGTGCCAGCCCTTTCCACCTTCCTGGTACCTTCTGAAAAACATGAAGTGCAGGACTGGAAATGTACTGGGTCAGTGCTTAGCACAGTATCCCAGACACTGACAAGGGGTTGGGAAGGGAGGCATTACTGACTCAGATGAATGGCAGTTCCCACCCCTCACATCTCCTGTGTCTGTACAGAGGACATTTACATTCAACAGAGCTTACAGCTCATGGACATGAACAGTTAATTTCACACCCCTTAAAAAAAAGCATTCTGCTTAGAGGTCAGGAGTCTAAAATCTACACACTCCATTGGATTTCCTTGATACTAATAGCACAACATAAATTTGCCATAAATAAATAGCCTTGCTGGAGGTTGAAAGATTGTTTTGGGGGGCTTTTCTCTGGAGTCAAAGTGGGTCCAATCAAAACACATAGCACTCAGTTCTACTACGTCCATCACAGCTGGTGCGTGGTGCCTGTTGCCTCCTGCAGACAATGCAGATCAGGGAGCTTGGCAAAGGCTTTAGATCTACAAGGAAGATCAAATCTCCCAATGGGATGGAGCAGCCCTAGCAACGTACCCGCTAGGATTCTCTGGTTGCTTCCCCATATCATGTGGGGAATAGGATCTTGTTCTCCTAAGCAGACCTGGCTGATTATCAGCCTCAGGATTTGGGGGTGGTTAGCACATAGAAGTCATTCTTCACTCAACCCTGTGCACATGCTGGGGCCTGAAAGGGTCCCAATCTCACTTTCTGCTATGCTCAGTAATGGTCTGAGGGTCAGCAAGAGAAATGAAGCTGAAAACCATAAGAAGTCAGGAAACTTACATTAAAGACATAGTCCCCTCTTCTCCACTGGGACAGGAAACAGACTAGAGCAGGTTGCTAGGCTGGCAAGGAGGGAATGTGATAAAGCAAGCCTGGTTGAAATTGGTGCAGGGAATTTCGCAGATGGGTGACATACAGGGAATGCAAGATCTACTCATATGTGTAGTTAAATAACCCCAGAAGCATGCAGAACTCTAGCAGGCAGCTGCCTTTGATACATATATAGCAATAGGTACCAGCTGACAAGAAGTTATTGGCTTCCAAAATATCATGGATTAAGAAGACAAGAAAGGAGGTAAACTAAAAGTGCTAGGCAATAGATATGCATGACAGAGGTTGGAAAAGAAAGAAGATTCACATTTTTAATGTGGAGGTTTTTCTTACATGGCTGTCACATCACAATTTATGGAGCTAGACATGCTAGAGAGTTCCCCCTCTCTCTACACAACAGAGAAGAGCTCAGCACTCATCACAGTGTGACCAAGTGCCAAAGAGTAGAAAAGAAGCACATTGCAGCCACACAGCCTCTCCATTCCAGCCATACCCATGTTTCAGCAGCCCCTGTAGCTAAGAGTAACAAATTTCACTTCCAATTGAAAGAGTTCACTTGCATTAAAAGGCAAAGAAACTAGATGAAGACTGCTTACACATCATAAAGTTGCGTACATCCCAGATGACCTTCCTAACTTGTATAGTTTGGGGTCAACTTGAATGAGCAATCTAAAAGGGAAACTTTCCATAACCTATTGCCAACTACTTGAATCAGTGATTTCCAAAATGTGGGCCATGGACAGCTGGTTGGTCATGTGTGACTGGCACTCCTCCATTCTCATTGCTATTTCAGCCTGAGCTCTGCTAAAAATATACCAAATCATTTCCTAATATTGCATTCTCATGTGATCACTAGCTGGTGTTGAAATGGGGATGTAAGTAACCCAAAGATGTGAGAGGTGGAAGAGTGTTGCTCCATGCATCAGGAGATGGTAAAGGGAGGTATGACTTCAGGGGAATGTGAGATGCAAAACCAGGCTCCCACTGAAGAAAACAGATAATGAAAAACAACGGGATGTACTGGAAAAGTGGATATTTTCAGTTAAGGCTGCTGAGAAGCATGTAGATTGTTTTTATGATTTGGTGGGATGTTTATGTTTTCTTCTGTCTATATCTGTAGCCTCCTCTTATTCTGGGACATGCAGTGATACTCTGTACCAAGGAGTGTGACTCTGCTCAGCTCTCAGGGTGCCCTAGGCCCCAGGAAGCACGGTCAGACACCCAGAGGTAGAGAGATACCTGCAGGATATGCAACCAAACATCCATGCCATCCAAGCAATGCACCACTGCCCTTGGGGCACCCGAGCTTGTGCCAGAGCAAGGTGCACTTTCCTTGTAGTTAAAACTGTCGACCAGCTTGCCAGTTTCCCAGAACATGCAGGCCATTGCATGACCCAAACATTTCTGACTCCTCCTGCTCTCAGGCTGCATGCCTGCCATGCTGCAGGTGGGGCGCAATGTAGTGCAGCCATCTCAAGAAACAGATGGATCAGTACAGATCTGCAGGTCTTTTCTATCATCAAAAAATGTGAAAATGAAAAGCAGGCCTGAGTAGTTTTCATAACAGCATAAGGGATTCCAAGGGGCAGCAGGGGGAGTATGGGAGTGTGTAAATCTGTTAAAATAATTTTATAAAAAAGGATATGAACCAGTCAAGCCTCAGTTTATGTTCCCCACTTACACTTGCTCTCCTTGACAAAAATAGGCGGCAGGCTGTTGCAGGCTTTAATGCCCTGCAGATCCTTGATGGTTTATTCCAGAGAGGACAGGATCCTTTGGAAGGCTGCACAGTGATATCACCCACCTCCACATTAGAAGGATCTGAGAGCCTGTTCCAAGAAGATCTGGGGCTGCAGGCAGGACAAATAAAGCTCTCACATGCTTTTCAGTCAGGCAGCTGCATGTAGTTCAGCAGGAAACTCTTTGTACTATGTGACCAGGTCACAGACGCAAACAAAAGGGCACTGAGAGATTGAGTCAACAGCCGGTTCTCATGTCCCTCTGTGTCATATTCATGTCTCTAAAAACCAAGTGCTCTTAAGAGGAATTTGACATCATATGTGCATGCTGTAACACTTGCTATAAAAGAAACAGTAAAACATTCCAAAAAAGTCAGGCAGTTCCAAAAGTTTTACTGCCACTAAAACAATAGCTGAAGACTACACTTCTAGCAAGCAGCAGCCAGGATTTTAACCATGCTGCTTACACTAATCCCCCTGAAATTTCTCTTAAAGAGAATTCAGGAGAAGATCTGAACTAGCCTATTCCTTTAAAGAGAAAGAAACTGAAGAAAAAAGCTAAAGTTGAACAGTCACCTGAAAGAAGTGAGGAAATGCCACTTCTGGAAGAGACTTCACTTACCATACTGGATTTAGCTACTCAACCATTGTTGAAAAACACAGGTTATTGAATCCTCATGAAGGTCTGAGAACATTGGAAAGCAGGAAAAGCCACTGTAAAATGACAGCCATGTGCTGTGCAGAGCAATGGGAGCAGGATCTCAGAAACCATGATGTTCAGCACTACCACTCATTTGCCTTCAGAGCACAACAATGAAGGGAAGGAAACAGACTGGAAGAACGTAGTTTGGAAGAGTGTGTTAAATGCATTATAAAATGTATTGCTGTAAGACTGCAGTTCAATTTATCCAGGTTTGTATTTTTCTTGCAGGAATTCTTTTCTTTGCCAATGAATACACCACCATGAAAAATTTTGTGGATTCTGGTAACAGCACTCTTTTAATAAACAATGGGATTTTTCTTCCTTAGCTAAGAAACGGAAATGGTTTTGGGTCCCTGTTCTTTTAATTTCAATGACAGACAGAGTAATGAGGCAACAGCTTCTCTAGTATGACACACAAGTACAATAGTACTTTTCTCTAGTACAACATACAATTTTTCTATGTTACAGGAAGAAGAATAGAGTCCTCCTCCTTGCTGTTGAAGACCTGCACAACTTAGGAAATCTTCCCAAGAAAATAAGGGGAAGAATATAACAGCAAATTTGGCTGGCTGAGCCAGTAACATCCATTTGAGCAAGCCTATGCAGTGCTCCAGCACAGAGGTGGGAGGATTTCTGTCTACCACATCCCTCTGAGGAGTGAGCTGCAGAGATCATCCATATAAAAACACCCTCTTGCAGGTGGAATTGCAACTCATCTTTGTGGTCAAAGCATAGGTTTAAAATCTGACAGAAATTCTGGTCGTGTGGAAAAGGACCTGAGTCTGTAATCTGATTGTCTTCTTGCTGTTGGAATCAGCTTCTAGTTCCTAGCCTCAGAGAAAACAAGGTGCTACCTAGGGAAGGAGGTTGCTGGGGAACAGAAGCAATCCAGGCATCATGATGAGCCATAGCACCATTGCTTGTGCCTTGTGGGGGAAAAAGATGAGGATCAGCTGCTCAAGTGGCTGCCCTCCATCTTTTCCTGTGGTCAGACTCAAACCACAGTGGTTTCCCTCTGCAGGGAAGAAGCCTGCAGTATATTTTCACTTCTATGGGAAAACTGTTCTCTGAGTCAAGCAGCCTGTAAATTATCTTGTGCCTGTCCTGAATGGGAGGAAAGTTTTTCTGCGCATCCAGGCCCTGGTTGTGTATGAAATTGCCTGCTGGTTCATGTTATGACAACTGTCAATCCCAAGACAGTTACAGACCAGTCCTTTCATCAACAGAGGGTCTGAAATTCAGGAAGAACTTCAAGCAAACCGCCTAAGGTTACTGGCTGCCTTCATGTCAGCACCAAGATTGGAATACCAGACTAGCTGGCCTCAAGTCAAAGGTTCAGCTCCACCTATCCTATATATAGATTATTGTATCATATGCTCCCCCTTATTGCTATGCAACTGGGTGTCAGAGCAAAAACACAATTAAACACTGGTCTTGGGCCTCATCGAACCAGATGTTGGGAGTGTTTTTCTCCATTGTACTTGTCTAAAAGGCAGCCACACTCAGTAATCAACGCTCAAGCTGATTTTTCTAAATAGGCTTTTGACCCTGACTTCTTAGGACAGGAATTTGCTGCAATTCTCTCTTTGAAAAATCTTGAATAATTTGATTACAGTAAGAGCTGATTAAGCCTTCTGGTTTCAAAGCCAAGTATTGCATCAAGCTGAGGAAGAGACCAATAAACAAGGTTGTTTCATAGTTACTTGTAACTGCTTATGAAAAGGCACCAGTTCTTGCCAGTGAAACCCAGCATCCTGTGCTCCTACTGCCATCATCTAGATGTCATCAATCCCTAAGGATTGTTCAAAGGCTTTTTTCAAGGCTTGGGGTGATAGCACCTCTTTTATAGCTGGTCTAATCCTCCCTTATTGTTCTTCAAATTGGTAGTCAAGATTCCAGCCACAGAAACATTATCTTGATACATGTGAAATTGCTCTGCACAACAGCATCTTTAACCACTGATAGGCATTTATTTCTGATGTGCCCTAAGGCAACATCCTGGCAATAGTAAATCCATGGAAATTTACCAATTACTTTGCTCAGGCCAATTTTTTTCACCTTAGGGGCCTTGATCATCCTGATGACAAATAAGAGAAAAATTTGCTCCAGGTTGAAAACTTGGTTTCCAAAGTCTTTTTTGCTTGCCTTATTAACACCAGTGAGTAAAGTAGAGAGATAAAATTCACTCAGTGAAGGATTCTTCTTTCTCATGGTTTATGCTTTTGATCCATACAAGTACCCAAAATAAATTGGTTTCCAGCTATTGATTTAGCGCAAAAACATAGCAGGGACTGCCACCACAACCACCTGTGAGGAAACACGGCCTGATGGTGCCATACTGCTTTTCTGTTTATATATTTCCCCCCCTCTAATTTTCAGACATATGCCTATTTTAACTGTATGTACACAAATGCAGAATTTGTCTGTTTGGGACTTTACATTACTTTCATTACAAAACTGTGCAAAAAAGACAGCAAATCAATTTCATAGTCAGTGCTCACGCAGCAGGAGACAATTCATACTGACATCTGATACCTGCTGGCTGCTGCTTCCAATTATGCCAGATGACGGAGAGTGGGACTGTCGAAATAACAGTGTCGATGGTGCAATCAAACTAGTTAAGATTCTGGAAGTG